TGACATGTTAATTAGACACTAGATTTACATACCTCCCTCTCCCTCCCTCTTCTTGTGGATAAAGATCTTTCTCTTGTGTTTCTATTCTATACAAATTCGGTTAAATGGGAATGAAAGTAAAGGGTGCAGACAATAACGAAAAATTTAATATTCCATTAGATAACCTAAAAGCGAAAGTACATTCAGGCTTCCATGTAAAATTAACGACAGCTAAAGGCTTCAGATACCCCTGTGCATCGGAATCTATCTCTCACATAAATGTGACAGAGGTATCAAGAAATTATGTGTCCATCTCAACAAAACAAAATAAAGAATCGTACGGTAGACAGAAATATAAAACTCTGATTATACACACAAAAATACCTGAATAAAATCAAAGTTTTCTACAATTGTTAGCATGTAAATTAGTTATACAGAACAAATACGACTATATTTCTCCCTCTTTGTACAAAGCCAGGAAATTTGTTAAAGAAGCAAACTCCACCAAATTTGAAGCAACTAAAAACTCATACGAACTGTTCATTTATAAGAACAGCATAAGGCATTACCAAAAATTTGTCATATTCAATACTCAGAACAAGCAGCTTGATAACAAAAGTTACGATCCCTTGAGAAGTTACACATCAAGAATGTGTTCTTGAACGAACAAATTCTTCTAGTCTATCCCACACCTCCAATGCTGCAGCCCTGTCTTGGTGTCGTTTGTTCTTACTTATCTGCCAACAAGTATGAAATTTATGCTCAAAGTGACTGTTAGAGCTGGAAAAAAGATGAAGATACTAAATCGATATTATAAAATAAAAATCATCAACCAACAGTAAGGGGCACAAGAAAGAAGAAACCCACCGAAATTATCTTTACATTCCACTGCTTTACATTCTTTGCTGACTCCAAACTGTCATCTTCAAAACGCATATAAAATCCAATAACTGCTAGAACATTAACAGATTGTTACAACTAGCTTCAACTCAACCAAAATTTTTTGCAGATAAATAAACACAACTATACTCGAATTGTAGCGACGATTCCATTTGTTGAATAAAGAAAATTACATAACAACGCAAATTTCAACTCACTCTTGTTGAATATTTCAACGTGGTCTTTGAAAGGCCAGTCCTTAAACTGCCATTCTTTGCCCAACACAAAAACTGCAACCACCCGATCCCAGTCCTCCGCTTTGAGTGTAGAGGGCTTGTCCCTCACTTCATAAGCAGTGACCACCCTGTCCCTGCTAAGCTTCTTCTGCACCGTCACGCAATCTGGCCTTGCCCCCTTCATCTGCTTCACCTTGACGTCAGTCGGTATATAAACCCCATCCTCCAAAAACTCCTTCACATTGTAGATGGTAATCAGCGTCTGAAATGCACTGGGCACCAAAATTATCGGCACTCCTTCCCCTATTTTGCTACCCTTCAAGTGCATTTTGGGTTTTGGAGTAGAATCGTACCCTAGGTCATCTCCAAACCCTAAACCCCGCTCATCCGCCCCCATCAACCGACTCTTAGCAACAAGCCCGTCTTTTCTCTGCTGCGATTCGATCCTCTGCCTCTCCTCTTCGCGCTTCGTCGCTGCAACCAAAACGCTGTAGAAATCCCTATTTTTGCATTCCAGCAAGGCCTCACGGTCCTTCAACGGTCTTTCAGCCGCCCTAATCATCGACATGAAATCCAATTTCTTGTCATCCGGCACAGCTGCGAAGTCGGTGCTGACACGATTCGGAGCAAATGCAGGCTCTTCGGGACGGTACTCGATGGAATCGGTGGAGGATATCTTACCCTGAAGATATTCGAGGAGGGGTTTTCGGTCTGGAAATGTAACGGAAGGGATTCCAAGGGAGACGGTGTTCTGGATGTAATCGGTGTGCTTAAGATGGTGATTCTTGATGTAATGAACTAGGGTTTCGAGGGTGTAACGGTTGCCCTTGGTTGAGCGGTAAGCAGTCTCGACGTTGCAAGGAAAAGAGTATTCATTACCGAATCGGAACTCGCCGCCGAACCGAACTATCTTCTCCAACTCGCCTCGAATGGTGAAGTCCCTCAGGGCAGAAAGGGGATCCATCGGAGAGCTGAAACCTGGGAGTTCTCCGGTGTATCTACTGACTAACAAAAACTGCTGACGGCCCTTTCCCTTAAATAGTTTCTTGGATTTTTTTTCTTTTAGTGAGAATGAGGGGTCTCAAGAAATTTTTAAATAAGTCAGGTCACATCATTAATTATCATCAGTTCAACGAAAATATAATATTCAAATGATATTAAATAAAATTAATTTTAATATTAATAATAATATTAAAAAATAAAAAAATAAATACATATTTTATTATAAAAATAAAATTAATTAAAAGTATGTCTCATAAAATTTTCTTCAAATGACTTAAAATATTTTAATTAAAAAATTATAAATAACCTACTACATTCAATTTAATAAAAGAAATTTTATGAATTTTATGAGAATATGAATTATAATTATAAATTTTAAATTATTAAAAAAATAGTAAATTATAATTTATATTTATAATTAAAAAAATATGAATAGTCAAATAAAAAATTAACAAAATATATTTGTGATTGTTTATAATGTCATTAAAAAATTTATTTAAATTAATTATGAATCAAAATTTTTTTTGTTACCAATATACATATAAATTATTTAAAAAATTAATAAAATATACTTGTAATTATTTGTAATATCAGTTAATAATTTATCAAAGTTAATTATGAGTAATAAGCCAATAACTCATGGCTTTTTGCTGTCGAAATAAATAAAACCATTTAAAAAATTTAAAATATATACTTAAAATTATTTATAATATCAATTTATAATTCATGAGAATTAATTATAAATTACAAATCAATTACTTGCAATTCTTTACTACTGATATATAGATGAGTCATTTAAAAAATTAATAAATAATATTTGAATGTATTTATAACGTTAGTTGATAATTTATAAAAGTCAATTATGACTCTCATGTCAATCAATAAAAAATATTTTATTATAAATAAATATATGATATGTTATTAAAATTTTGTTAGAGGTCCGAATTTGAAGTTTTATTAGGAATCTGATTGATTTATAATCAAACATTCCAGTGTGTAGGATCCTCACTACAATTTTTCACATGTAAACTAAAATACAATCAAATAAAGAAATAAAACAAAATTGTATGAAATGAAACTTGAAAGGACAATGCATGAAAAAATCTAAATGAATAAAATATGCTGAAAGATCTAAATAAAAGTGTGGAGTGATATATATAAATGAGTTAAATAAGCTGATTGAAATTGAATAGTGAGTTGCATTGGCATTGAGCCCGCGGATAGATGGCTGTGGAATGTGAGCGCCGCTTCATAGGCTAGCTCAAGCAACTCTTTACTTGAATTATAACTCTTTTTTTAATAATTTTAGGAAGTTACAATTTGACGTCACATCTAATTAGCACCATGGCTACCTGAGACTAGCTCAACTAATAAGAATGGCATAAGGTGTATGTATGGATTAAGAATTCAAAGTTCAAACCCTTCCAATACATAAAAGAAAAAATCAATGGCATTGACTTGGTTCTTTTTTATTTTAACCATTTTTATAATTATTTTAAATTTTAAATTATAATTTAAAGCAGTATCTCAGGCTTCAGAATTTACAAATAATATGCTGGCAATTTTACCATATTTTTTCTCCAGAAGAGGAAGTCAATAAAAACTATTTTGAGCACAAGAGTATTTATGAGAAAAGTTTAGGTCCCGTTTGATTATGAGCAAGAAATAAAATAGAATAAATTTAAAAAATAAATATAAAAATAAGATTATTAATAAAAATATGTAAACACATTCATACGGAGGAGATGCAATTTAATTCATAAGGTTAAAAATTATAATTCATGAAAATTTTAAAAAGTGTGATGATCTCCACATTTATAATATATATTAATAAATTTTATTATAAGAAAGGGTGATTTAGTTTATTTTTATTTTTATTTTTTTAATCTATTTTATTCATTTCCTTTTTAATACCGTAATGTTTTGGACATTTTGAAATGTAACTATATTCTGGACTATAAATCAGAGACAATTTTTTTTTAAACTTGGATTTGTGTTCTAATCTCTGGATTAAATTACACTTTGTTTGCCAAAACTCAGAAATGTTTACAAGTTAAATTTGATTTAATTCGATTTTCAACATTATTGGTGCATGCAAGTGGTTGGAGGCTTTTTTATTTAAAACATTTGATGCATTCATTTTATTTTTTATATTATATTAATCTTTATAAAAAACGGCTTTTTGACATGAAGATGACTAACTTGTGTTATTTAATTTATGAACTGAAGAATTAATAAATAAAATAAAACACATCTCAAGTGTGTGTAAATAATTATATATAATATAAAAATTTAAACCAATTAAACTAGATGAACAATGTGGTTGATTTACTGCCTTAATTAACACAGCCACACTAATTTGAAAAGAAAAGATAAAATTCCAAGGGAAACGCTTCAGGAGTCTTCTCTGCCTTCAAGTCCCCACGCCTGCTTAACACATATAACCGAGTAAGAAGGAGCGTTCTTCTTCACTTTGAGCCTGACGCTAAGGGCTTTGCATTGCTGGGCCTTGCCCGAACATGGGATCTCAATTAAATATGGGCCTTCTCTGCCCCCTACGATCAGCTGCCGCCCGCCTTGCTTGACCAACCTGTACCAAGCCTCCATTAAAAATTATAAAATATTTTTAATTAAATTATAATGTTAATAAAATAATTATTTATTTTTAAATTAATCTTATTTTTTATTTATGATGTTTTACCTTAAAATAAACATGATTTATTTAATAAGAGTATTTAAAAAAATAATAATTATATATTAAAAAATTAAAAATATTTTATACTTTTAAACATTTAATTTTTTAAAAAAATATTTTATAATTTCAAACCGAGTACTAAATACTCATAGGATGATTTTTTCCCCCTTTCTTGTTTTCGTATTTGTTATAAAACGCAATCGGTAAAGCTCAATTTTATGGATGCCTCGGAAATATCGGTGCGACCATTCAACCCCTCGGACGCCGAAGACGTGCTGAAATGGGCGGGTGACGATAGAGTGACTCAATACCTGCGTTGGAGCTCCTTGAAAACTAGAGAAGAAGCGCTGTCATTCATAGAGAGGGTTGCTATGCCCCATCCGTGGCGTCGATCCATATGTGTGAATGGTCGGTCCGTCGGATACATGTCGGCGAAGCCAGGGTCCGGCGATGACCGGTGCAGGGCACACATTAGCTATGCATTGGGCGTGGATCACTGGGGAAAAGGGATAGTGACGGAGGCTTTAAGGATGGCTATCCCTCTTGTCTTCAAGCAATTCCCTTATCTGTATAGGATTGAGGCGTTGGTGGACATTGACAATAAAGGATCTCAGACGGTGCTTGAGAAATTAGGATTTGTTAAAGAAGGATTGCTCCGGAAATATGGCTTTTGTAAGGGTCAGGTTAGGGATTTCTTCATCTACAGCGTCTTGGCTGCTGATAAGGTGCCTGTTTGAATTTGCCTTTAAAATTAATTAATGGTAGGAAAATCATGTTTTGGCAAAACATACCCAAGCACCTTTGTTTTGCCTAAATTCCCCCCGCCTGCTTCTCAATATCAATTTTACAGTTGAAACAATTATTATTTTGTCAGAATTTCGGACTTGCCAAGTGTTCAGGAGATATGATTTGCAGACGATCACGATACTCTTCTTTTGAGTCAACCTCAACTTTTCATTCTTTACATATTAAAATATTAATATTATAATTTAATTTAATTTATATTTATATTGTTAATTGTTGAATAATTTTATACTTCCTCTTATAAAAAATATAAAATATTTATAATTAAATCTCACTTTTAATAAAATGTCTTCAAACTAACACAATTTTTTTTATATTTATTCTTATTTAATTGAATGTTTCACTTTAAAATAAATCTAAAGTGATTTATTTATTAGAGATATCTAAAAAAAACACATTAATTGTACTTTAAAACATTAAAAATATTTTACATTTTTAATATTTAACCTTATAAAAAATACCTCATATTTTTTAATGGATGAAGTAAATATTAAATGTATACTATTGTATTTTTAAATAAATCAAATAAATTTAATAACATTGTATGCAATTTTATTAATTATTCTCTTAAAACTCATATCCTTTACTTTAATTTAAATTTTTAAAATTAATTTTAATTAAATTATTCAAATATTTTTAATTATATCAAAATCAATTTTAAAAAATAATATCTAAATACAGTCACGTTATAACATAATTAATTATAATTAAAAATTATTATATTAATTATTTTTTTATAATTAATTATATCCAATTAGAATTTAAACACATGCAAGCTCACACTTAATTGATTTTGCCCAGTCAGGGGACACGGGTCTTTGTACCATCCATCATTTCCAGAAGCCTTAAGTATTAATTACTTTTGGGTCTAGCCCTGTACTTATTAAATTTGGTACTGGGGGAGTTTTTCTTTTTATCTTTGGCCCTGTGCAAATAATTTATTACTTCTACAGCTGATCTAAGGGACTTTATTAATGTACTTGTTCCGCCGGGGTAGTTCTTTTCACGAACAATTTAATATACTTTTTTTTTTGGTCACGTACTTTATTAATGTACGTACTGATAGTTATATATGCAAGTCCCTCTAACGAATAACTTTGGAATTTAATCATTTTTATATATTAACTAATGATTAAAATTTGGATGCGTGTCATATACCCAAAAATAGATGCATGTTTATTGGCTCGTGAGAATTGCTCTCAAGCAAAAAAGAATGGAATGTAGGAATTTGTAGGTTAGGGGTATTCATTCTTAGAATAAGATCTAAACCATTTAGATTTTAATCTGAATAGTTTAGATTTAAAATATTTTTTATTATATTTATTAAAATAAAAATTATAAAAATTATAAGATAATTTTATTTTTTTATTTTTGATCTAATCTAAATTTAATTTGATATCAAATTTTCTATAATTGATGAATGTTAATTATTCATATGTACTCTATACCATCATAATTTTTATAAATTTTTATTTTGATAATATAATAAAAGATTATAATAATGTTTTAAATTCGAGTCTTCCAAATTATAATCTGAATGGTTTAGATTTCATTTCAAAACTAAGCACATGGTGCTCATTATCAGGAATCTTGAATGTTTGCTACGAGTTAGTATATTGTTATCTTTGTTAAAAAATTGCTGTATATAGTTACGTACATACTATTTCTCTTTATACGTCCCAGGTTTTAAGGTTTATATTCCATGCTCATCGTGTACAGTGATGAGCACCGTGCATGTATTTGGTTAAACAAGGGATGAAAGCATATAAATTAGATGTGGTAATTAAGCTTAGTTTAATGGGCTTACCTGAATAAGTTTTAAAAATTTTAGAGCCAGGCTTAAGAATTTTTTAAAAAAATTTACTCTGAACTTATTTGGATCACCTTAATAAACTCGAAGGAATCTGATTAGACCATACCCGAATGACATTAACTCGTATATCTAAATTCCTTTTTTTATTAATTAGATAATATAAAAATTGAAAATATTATTTTTTTAATAAAATTTGAAATTAGATGAAAAAAAATAAAATAATATTTAATAATTTAGATATTTGAACTATCTTGAATAAGCTCAAGAAACTAAGAACAATTTGACTATATGAATTTTTTATATGTTAAGATATGTTAAATCTAATCTAAATAGAGCTTAGCCTGAATAAATTTATCCTACTCAAATTATAAAAATAGTGACTTGCAAGCGCCTTTGAATATCATAGCATGAGAGAAGAAAAGAAAAGGAAAAAAAAAATTGAATAGTTACTGTTTCATGAATAAGTTCCCGCTAAATCTAGAGATAAAAAACTCAGCTACTCATCACAACAAACAGGGCGCAAAGCTCGATGATACGTTTCACGAAATCTTAATGCAGGTAGAGACTAGACATGGGGTGTAATATTTCTCCGTTTTTATATATAAAAAAATTATATTATATAATTTAAAAAAATTAACTAACCATAATAATTATATTTAAAAATAAAAGATTAAAGCAAATGTCATATATTAATTAATATAAATATATATTAATTATTTTTTATTAATGTAAATTATGAGGAGTGATTTAAAAAATATATAATAAATGTTTATTAAAATAGATAATTTTATTTATATAAAAAATAAATAAATAATAATAATTTTTTTATAAATAAAAACAGAGGGAGCATTAGCTAAGCTGAAAAGTTGTTGCGCAGATTTGAAAATGAGCACCTGCATAGCATACACAATTCAACTCAAATTTCATTAAATTGGACCAAAAATAATATATTTTCACATTTTATTATCCCAAATCACAACACGTGGAATTTGTTTTATTTTTTGAATTAATTAATTATAAACCAATAAATAAACCATGAAAAAATACAGATAAACATAAACATGAATGCGTGTGTGACAGAGCTATGGTGATTTGTTGATATGCACTATCTCTGTTAACAAATATAAAATATTTATAATTAAATTTATTTTTTAATAAATAATTATTTATTTTTAATTAATTATTTTTTTTCATATTTATCCCTATTAAACACCCTATAATAAATATAAAATCATTATCAATAAAATATTTAAAAAAAAGTAATAATTATATTTTAAAAGACTAAAAATGTCTTATTTTTTTAACATTCAATACTTAAAAAATTTTATATTCTATATCCTTCCATAAATAAAGTATAGAGACCTAAAATATTAAAAAAAAAAGTGTAAAAATCTAAAATACCAAAAAAAAGTACATGGATTTATAACAATATGAGCAAACTGTAAAGATTTAAAATTATATTTTCTTTTATTTTTCTTGTTTGCATTAGGCAATGTTTGTATTGCCTCTATCCTTATGTATAAGATATTTTTAATTGAATTATGTAAATTAATAAAAGTTAGTTATTTAATTAAAAGCACAACTACATTTCAAATTTACCTTTAATTATTATAAATAAAAATATTTTTTTAAATAAATTAATGAAAGTATTTATATTTTTTTCTTTTTAATTTAATAAATATATAATAATTTATTTATTAAAAAATATGTTAATAATTTTTTATATTTAAAATAAAAAATATTTTAAAAAATTTTTTATATATAGAGATTGAGGGAACAAGTAACAGGCTATTAGCACGTAGCCCTCGTCCGCCTGTGCCCTAGAAAATGACATCAGCATTTCCTCCTTCTGAGTTTTTTTTGGTTGACTACTCGACTGCTCATTTCCCATTCCTTTTTAGCCTGCAGGACACACAAAAGGAAGTTTATAACAAATATTATTATTTTTTTTTAAATAAATCATAGGATAAGTTATGAATGCTAATCACAATGTTACTAGTAGTAATACAGTTTGATTAACCGCCTGTCATGAAAGTAATTAATGAGTAAGCGATAAAAGCCGGTAATTAATGCTCTAACTTACCATTTACTCCTTCCGTTTTTTAATATAAGAAAAAATAACTAATCATGTAGTTTAAAAAAATTGTTAAGTATAGTAATTATATCTATAAATAAAAAATTGGGCTAAATTATCTCTCTAATTAATGAAACAAATTTATCTTGCACAAATAAATATTGACTTTGTGAGAAACAATTAAAAAAGATATAATAAATACTTTTTAAAATTTGTAATTTTGCTTATAAACAAAAATAAAGAAAAACTTCTATTTGAATATAAGATAAATAATCACTTTGTTATGATGAATTGAAATTAACTTCCTCTTATCATCAAAATATGTTGCAATATTGATATATCATTTTATGTATTTTTAAACAAGTTACTACCTGATAACAAGCTTATTAAGGGTTTTCTTATAGACGATACTGTGATTTGTGAATGAATGATTGTATTATTATATGTGAAGAGTGAAGTTTTTGTATCTCTATGTGTCTGTAATGCAGAAGCTCTCGAGTGCCCCTTCTCTTCGTCTTCTTGGAGTAAAGCTAAAATTATGGATTGGATTATATGAGTTGGTCTAAGTAATCTACTATAAGGATTGAGTTGAGTTGAAAAAAATTGACCTATATCAAAATAAAAATTTTTTGTTTCGGATCAGATAACCCATGATCTAAATAGGTTAATTCTAATGAGTTAAGATTAAATAATTTAACCCATATTATTTATTGAGAAATAAAAAAATGGAAAGAGTTCTCACACTAAAGCCCCATATGACAAGCAGATTTTGGAACAAATTGTGATAAAATTGGTCAATCTTAGGTACTTATGATGTAATTTTTTAATTACACAAAATATCATTAGAACTTCTTATTTAGATATGATTTTTTAGAAAAATTATGGAAAAATAAATAAATAAACCAGTGAGTTGGCTCATTTAACCATCAACTCACAAAGGTTGGGTTGGTATTTTTTTCGATCCACATGAAAATAAATTGAACCCAATTCAATTTATATTCTCTCCAACTCATGATTTGGATTGACATGTATTCTTACCTCAGTTGCTAGAGTCTCTACATTAGGGAGAGGATTCTTGATTCATAGTAACTACGAGTTTTAAAGCTCATACACTACTAAAAAAATACAAATTAGCGAGGGCATTTAGCGAGAGATTTTCTATTTCTCTCTAAAATATTGAATTAGTGAGAAAATTAGTGAAAGATATTGATTTCGTAGCTTGACTTAATATTAGTGAGAAAAATAACAAGGGACTCTCAATCCCTCTCTAAAATAAAAGAATTATTGAGAAAAATAGCGATGGACTGTCAATTCCTTTCTAAAATGAAGAAAATAACAAGGAACTACTAATCCCTCTCTAAAATAATAGAATTAACGAGGAAAATAGTGAGGGATTGTCAATCCCTCTTTAAAATAAGACAATTTGTGAGGAATTGTCAATTTCTCTCTAAAATAAGATAATTAGTGAGGAATTCTATTCTTAGCAAATTACTGTAAAAAAAATAACTTTTGATAATGACTTTTAACTATATGTTTAATTATTTTTATTTAAAAATAAAAAATTAAATTTAAAAATTAACTAAAATATTGATAATAAAATTATTTAATATTTAATATATTTTTTATTTTAAGTTAATTTTCATTAATAAAATAATATTTTGCATAATATTAGTGAGGGATTCAGTCCCTTACTAAAATTAGTGAGGGAAATACAATCTTTTGTTAAATTTAATGAGTCTTTTTTTAGTTATGAATTTAAAAAAAATTAAAATATAATTTAGTTAGAAAAAATGACATTTAATGAGAAGTTTATCTCTCATTAAATTTAATTTTTTTAGTAGTGATCTTTCTCGGTGGTTGCCTCAGAGTGGTATACCAATGGGTATGGGTGGGATTTTAGGCATAAGCACTCGAATGCAGGCTTTTTGGTATGGGTGAGCAAAACCAAACCGAAACTGAAAATTGAACCAAATCAAATTGAGTTTGATCTATTTGATTTAGTTTATTCAATTTAAATGGTCGGTTTGGTTTTTTCTTAAAAAAATTTCAGTTTAAATGGTTTGGTTCGGTTTGAAGATTGCAAAACTGAATAAACCGAAATTAATTATATATATTTATAAATATTATAATTGATTTATATTATTAAGGATTGTTTTTATTTTTATTAATATTTTTTAGAAATACTAGTATTATATTTGATTCCTTTATTTTTGATATGCTTTTCTATGTTATCCAGTGTCTACGTTATTGTTTTTGGGGATCCCTTTTGTTTTCCTCACTATTTATATTTGTCATGTTAATTTTATAATTGTTTGAAGTTTCAAAATTAAGATTTCACAAGGTCCACTAGACTAGTCCAAATCATTTTTCCTCCACTTTAGTTAGGGGTATCTGGTGTTTTAAATTATTTCTTAATTAGTATGATGTTTTTTTTTGAGACAAGCCCAATTTGTTGACAAAAAAAGGCCCAATAACCGAAATAAATAATCGAACTGAACTATTAAAATTCTGTTCAGTTTTAGTTTAGTTTTTTCAAAACTTTGGTTTGGTTCGGTTCAAAAAATTGTTAAATTTTGGTTTGTCAATTTTCTTTAATCACAACCGAACCAAACCGAATTAATCAATACTCTCCCCTACTTTTCGGTGTTGGGTGGAAGACAAACTTTTTTTAAAATAATTAAAGAATGATATTTTTTATATTTTTCATTTATTATTTTTTAAAAACAGAACATCTTTTTTGTTAGAAGAAAAAATTGATGAAATTTATATATTCTTAACTTTAGATGATCATTCCCAGAAAATGAGATATGGTTTCACAACCCTTTCAAAATTTAGAGGGTTCATATTTAATATGATAGAATAATAAATTTTGTTATATAACTATCTTTCTATATCACTTAAATTATATAAATAGTATGGTAGGATAATAAGTCTTGCTATATAAATATCTTCTAAAAATAGCGAGATTATTATTGTCCAGGTGAAATTAATGTATTTTCTCTCCTACCTATTTTTATTTTCTCACTTATAAGCAGTGGGTACGATGAAAGAAAATAGTTTCTGCCAAAATTTTCTTCTATTTTCATTTTTTCTCTTCTTATTTTTTCTCCTCAGCCAAGCAAGGATTAAATTTTGTTTGGAATGATGTCATGTACATTAAAAAATTAGGAATATGTCACATTGTATATACATGGACACTTCACGTATTATTAATATTTCATATTAATATAAAATTTATAACAATTTATAATAATAATAATAATAATCAATCATAAGTAGCATATCTCATTATTTAGACTCGGTGTAATTTATTGAACTCATATACATAACTGTTCTTAAATTAAACTTTTTAACGTGGAGTTAGAAAATAAAAATCTCTAATGTGTTTAATAGAGTAAATTTTTTAAAAAATACAGATATTCAAATTAAGTAATGAACCTTGTAAACCACTGGGCCATTTCAAATATTATTATTACTAGTTTCTTAATTTTTTTATACTGAAAATCATAATTGATCATAAGAAAAATAGCTCAAACGCTTTTAAAGAGAGATTATGGGATCAAAACCCCAGTAATAAAGATGAGTGGGGATGTTAGGTTCTTTTTCATATAAAAGAGTAAGGATAACTGCGCCTAAAATTGATCTACATCCAAAAAAAAAAGTGGCAATTTTAAAAATTAATAAAAATATTTCACAAAGTCGTCGCGGGTTGGAAGCAAAAATTTATGGTTTTTTCTTCAATCTTGTAAAATTCCAAATCATTCTCGTCTTCTCTGAACTTACAAGCACCCATTTTTAAAGAATTTCAATTAAAACCTTAACAACAACAACAACAACTTTGTCCGGTAATCCCAGTCCAAAAACTCGTTGTACTTATCGAGAAGACATAAACGGATTTTTCGTGCGTTTGTTTCTCTGAATCTGTTTTTATTCACATATCAGACTGATCTGTGTTCTGAATTCGTCATCATTCATCGACGCACGCAGCACAGAGACGACAGAGAGCCTCGAACAAAAACAGAGAAACTCACATTTCTCCCTTTCCCTCTATCACATGGAAATGACGTTAGAGATCGCCAAGGCTAAGACCAGAGCGTGGTTTTATCAAATCAAAACCACGGATTTCTAATTCTATGGACACGATGGATCACTCTTTTACTTTGTAAACAACCCACCAACCGTTACCTTGCACACCTGCTCTCCCTCCCTCACTCCCTCTCTCTGTGAAATGCCTCTCATTTGCACTATTGTAACTGTATGTCTGGCATTCAGGATGAAGACTGAAGTAGTGTGGAGAGCATAGAAAGTAACAGAAGTAGCGTGGAAGAAGAGAGCATAGAAAGCAAAGTTAAAATTTAAAAACATGATCCACAGGCCTAAATGCATGGGGAGAGAGAGAGAGAGGGAGAGAGAGAGAGAGAGAGAGAGTTGTTCACCAGTTACACTCAGATCTTTGTTTTGATGCTAGAAGTTGAGGGTCTTACTCGTGTGACTCTAGGCTGGTATTTGTCCGGATTCGGAAGCAGTTTCAGCTGAAGTAGTATTTCAAGACAGGCGTTTAAGAAACTGAAAGAGAAAACACTTCCCCCCCCCCCCCTCCATTTCTCTCTCACGCACACATTACATAAAATAATTAGAATTAAACGAGGGAACAAAATTACAAGCCCGCCTTGAGTACTGGGTGCCGGATGATTCATGCACGTCTGGTCATTTGATCATGACTACTAGTGTGAGCCTCGTTGCATGTCGTTTCTGAGCACCCTTTGATCTATTCTCGTCAGAAACAGGCGAATGAAGGCCGGGAAAGCCGGGGAAAAAGTTATCCTTTTCCCTCTCATTTTCCTTCTCACTCATTAATTTGTTTCTGTCTGGTTTAGAAACGGAGGTTAAAGAGGGTTCGGCTATTTAATTAGAGTTTCTGGTCTCTCAGTCTGCTCAACCTCGTGCGTCTCTCTGAAGCTTTCCTCTTTCCCTTGAGGCCTGTCTTATAATCTCCCTCTTGCTATCAATCCGTCTCTCGACCAAACCTAAATCTTCTGCTTTTTGGTTTCAGTGTGAAGCGTGAAAATGACTCCAGCAGCAGAACAGTATTTGAAGCATTTGACATTCTTCTTTGTTTCTCTCAGACTCCTCGGAAAACTTGCTTTCAAAATTTTCCATGAAAATGACAGCATCTGCAGTCCACCATCACCCACCCCAGAAACTGGCCACGGAAGCTTTCTGGAGAGAATCGATTCAAAGGGTGTTGGTCTGGGGATTGTTGGATCTCTTTTGAACGACAACAATTCTGTCGACCCCGAAAGCCCAAGGATTCTGTTCGGATTCCAAATGCAGACTCATATTCCCTCCTTACTTCCTCCACCTGAATCGCCTGAAACCTCATCGGATTCCGGAACAGAAGACACCTCAGAGTCCAAAGTCAGAACCTGGAGACCACCTCGAATCTTCCAAAGCTATCTGTCTGCCAGCGAGATGGCAGTGTCTGAGGAGTACACTCGGGTGACTGTGCACCGCCCGAACCCGAAAGTCACGCATATATTCAATAACTGCATTGTTGACAGCAGCTTGTTCGTAGGTGAATTATTGGGGTCGTCGTCGTCGTCGTCGCAGGAAGATCATCAACCTGTGGTGTATACTTCTGAGAGGTTTCTGAGCTTCTGTTCTTTCTGTAAGAAAAGCATTGAGGGGAAGGACATCTTCATGTTGAGGTAAATTCGACTCATTCCTCTCCGATTCATACCAAACCGCGTCCAGAAATGTTTGCATGTCATGTTAGGAATCAAGGCGAAAATATTATTTTGTTAATGGTTCAATTCAAACAGAATTCCAGTTGATTCATGTGACCGTATATTTCAGGGGCGAGAGAGCCTTCTGCAGTGCTGACTGCCGATACAACGGAATACTGATGATGGAGGAGGAGGAGCTTTTGAAGGTGGCCGCTGTAAAGAAGAAGGACCTCTTGATTGTTGCGGCTGTGTGAAAAAGTTAAGAGCCACCGCCTTTTTTTTTTTTTTAAAAAAAAAGGGCCAGTTTCAGGGGTACATAGAGTGTCCTTCCTTTGTCTTTCTAAAAAAAAAAAAAAAAAAGCAGGGTTACTATCTTTAGTGGACTCAGGCTGGGTTAATCCATGGCGTTTAGAAAATTCATCGTGAGTGACTTGGTTTGGTTATGCTGTGTAGGGTGGCCTGAATTTTTTTATACTTCAAGGAGATGGAGAGATTGATAGGCGTGACATATTGTAAAGGATAGTTTTGTTGAAATGAAAAATCAGGACTGCTAGTCTGTTTTGCCTTTCAGATCGAAAGCTTGCGGTGATAACGAGGATGCCCGAGAAAAGCTTCCTAGTTACACCATTATCTCGGTTTATTGCTCATAAATGACATGTTCCATGACAAGAATATACAATGCTTGATGATAAAGAAGCTAAAGACCAACCATATTTTAGTAGATAACTTTGAGATCTTCAGCACACATGAAAGATTCACGAGGAAGTATTTTTCTGACTGATTTAATTAGGGAATAAATCGTTGCTCAATGTCAACTTGGAGTTAATGATAGACGTATATCTATGATTCTAGGGAAACCTTCGAGCAAGTTAATTTGATATAACTTTCCAATTTAAACACACGTAATACGAACGAGTAGACAAGAACGGAATTCATCTACAATTTGGAAAAGTGACAGACTGTTCAAGTAAGTAACTGTAATTTCTGGTTGGATTGGAGTAGATCGAGGCACAATATCATGAAGTGGGCCTCCCTTGTGCGTTTGGTTCAGTTACAGCTTAAGGCAAAAAAATTACAGCTAATTATATTTTCGTGTTCAAGATATGCTTTCAAATATTTTGAAATAGAAATGTAAGTCGTTGGCCGAAAAAGGAAATAGAAATGTATGAGCTGTCACTGAATGATATCATTTTCACTCCCACAATCTAGCAAGGAGGGAGAAGGGATCTCTGATCTGATTATGACCTCCACAAAAATGGACAACATTTTCATTTTCAACCATAATTTTCCTTTTGTGCCCAGTTTAACCACACACGGACGAAGAATCCATTCATAGATATGAGCAAATATTAAATATTAAATAAACGCTATTTTACGTGTTCTTTTCTCGTAAATAATTATTACATCCAGGGGGGAAACTACGATATGGCTCCCCTTAATATTATTCTGTTGCGTGCATTCGCGCGTGTTGATATACCGGTGGTCCATGCGTCAGCTTTTCGAGCACCCCGTTCTCAGAGTCTGGAGAGGCTTGAACTGCTACATCGGAGAGCACAATATATTTTTTTTAAAAAAAATTATGACTTGTAGTTCTTTTTTTTTTTTGGGTACAGTAGCACGTCTAAAATTATTAATGAGGGACAAGTTGCATAATTCATGCGAACTCCAGGGCCAAAATATCAGTAAACTGTCATTATTAAGTTTCAGTCAGTATGGTTAAAATTTTGAAGCAAAATATATGATATTTTGGATTTGGATTCCATGCTTTGTAGTAAGCACTCGATCGCATCAAGTGTTTGTCATGATGTGGGAGGAAGATATGTGATCAACAACTTCAAAAAGTTCTAGTTCTTAACCATATATAGTCATGAAACATTGAATCCTATCATCTTTTCTGCCTTCCTCATTGAGTGGCGAGATGAGAGATTGATAACCATGCGATTAGAGTTGGCCAGTGACGAGAACCACGTCGAAGACGACTGAGCGAGAAGCAAATGAATGGGAAGTGGGTTTTAAATTTTGGAGTCAAATCTCAACCAAGAGATGAATATCGAGAAGGTGAGATCGAGGGAGTTCGAAACTCGATCTAGTTCAGGTACATGCGTTATTGTAGCATCGCTTTGGGGTTCCAACCACTGTTCAGGTTCTCAACGATTCTCTGATGAGAGTTCAAGTTAATCCAGTGCGTATGATTGTCGACCGGATAAGAACATGACATACTACACGACAATATTTAAAGGATAGGACTTTCGTTATTTATAGTGAAAAAGCTCCATGATCATCGTGGTTGTCGATTTGGAAAGAAGAACAGAGCACAACAATGTCATACGGAAAAAAAAAAAAAAATTCACCTTCGTTGTGGTTGTCAGCTAGAGGAGAAGAAGAACAAAGCACAAGAAGATTGACAGCATACAATATGGCTATTTATAAGAAGGTTCTGAATTTCGGTCAAGCAACGCCTACATGATGTGTGTGTGTGTGTGGCTGTTTTAGAGAAAGGTTTCAACGTTTCACAAATCATGTTGCGTAAAATTTCTTAAAGTCATTGATTTGATGAACGTCATATGACGATGACACTTTATATTTGTACTCGGTATGTGTAGTGGAGACACGGGCCAAATCCAAATCCTAATGTTTTGGGCCAATAAAAAAGTATGACTTAGATATATATAGTTCATCAGTAGAACTAGGATAATTGTCTTGTCACATATATATAACGTAGATTTCAGGACATTTCATTATCATACAATGAGCGTACGTATGATGTGCTCGATAAAAATAGTTATACGAATGCTCTACAAGATTGGTAAAAAAGAGAGCATATTAGAAATCAAAACATAAGCTAAGAAGATGTCTACAAGAAAAAACATTTGCTAATAAGATACTGATCCTTTTTTTTTTGGGGGGGGGGGGGGGACCTAAAAGATACTGATTCAGTTTCATGCGTTTTCTCACCTTTTTAAGTTTTTTATTCTTTAAAACACAACGATACTATTTTTGAGATTGATTCTTTTTACCATGTGTTCAAAAATTATGTACATATTAGTGATAATGAAATTTTTAATGTCTTAAATTTGTCTTAGTTATCAATTTAATCATTCAAGTTTAATTTTTAATAATTTGGTCATAAATATTTTTATTAAATTATTATGTTAGTGTAACATCCAGAAAATTTAATTGTGGTTAATTAACCCAATGAGTGTAATAAGTGAATTAATGAGGTGCATAGTCAAAGAAGTCTAATTAGTGTATTTGACTTCGTTTTCAGCCTTAGATGTGGGTCTAAATTGAAGTCAAAATATTTGAACATTAAAAGAGGAAGAAAAAAAATGAAGGAAAACCCTCTGTGTCACATGTCGCAACGTGCGGGCAATCTATCACGATGCATAAAGGCAGATTTTCGTTTGTTGGGACTTTCTATACCATGGACTGATGCAGAGGGCAACATGCACTGCAGAGCATGGCCAAAAATCAAATAAAGCTAGCTCGTGTTTATGTGCAAAAAACAGAGAAGACGGAGAAGAAAACACAAAGGCACGTTTAAGGCTTTGTAGGGTGCGTTGTTGGATTACATTGATGATATTTTGAGACTCCCAACCACCTAAGGTAAGTAATTTATACTCTCATCTTCATTTCTCTACCACATTTATGAGGATTTGGATTAGGGTTTGAATTAGGAGATTGATTTTCAATCCAAAGAGTTAAGAGTCCGAACCTATTGATTAAAATGGATATAATGAGAGTTGTTTGATGTAGTCAAATCCTACATTGATGATTTTATCAAGAGTTAGTTGGGGTGAATTATTTGTATGCGAATTTTGCAATTAATATAGTTATTGGGAGTGTTAGTGGCTTATTAATAATGGTTTAATGACTCAATAGTGTTAATGTGAGCTAATGAAACTTAGTGAACCCATTGGGTACGAATAGGTAGTGAATTATGAGATTGATAGAATAGAGAATGTGGATATTAATGTTGGTAAACTTACAAAAATGGGATAATAACAATATCCTTGTGTTGTGATTGTGGTGTGATTTAAATTGACAACATTCGAGCTTGTGAGAAGCTTTGAATATTGGTATTGTGAAGGGTAAACTTTTGACCTTTAAAAGGTTTAAAGTAATTGAGGGAAACATATTTTACATAGTTATATGTTAATTTAAAAATTGTTAAATTTATAAATTGATACTTGTTATGTAAATATTATTGATGCAATTTGGCAATGTGATGACTTTAGGCAATTTGGCAATATTTGTGTATTTATAAAAATGAATTGTTTTTTAATCAAGATTTAAATTTTATTGCTAGACTTATTAATGTGTGTTGTGTAGTTTCTAAAAAATTATGAGGATTTTAATTTTTTTAATTTTAAAATATTTTAATTAATTTATAATATTTATTTTTATTTTTATTTTTTTATTTTTTGAAATAGGGCTTGCGGCCTTAGCTTTGAGCCCTTTACATAAGGACTGAACTTAAAAAATAGGGTTCAAAATGAAAAATCGGGCTTTAAGGCTCAGGCCCTTAAGGGCCAAGCCTACCTATATTCCTAGCTTTAGGTATAAGGTTAGCATTTGATTATGAATTTAAATTTGGCCACGTGATTATTAGTATTGTGGTCTTGTATGTGTTAGTGGTGCATGATTGGTATTATTGCGATCCCATGATGTGCATTGACATTATGTGGATATATATGTGCGCGCGCGCGCGCGCTTTAGGCTCGATCACATGCTTATTAGTATTGTAAATTGTGGCTATGGCCATCATATATGCTATGATTGCGTGTTATTACTTAATTGCATCTATTTACAATTGATATGCAACTGTATAAGTTGGGTGAAACTTCGTTACTCAGTGATTATACTCACTCCTTAATTCTCAATATTTTTAAGGCCTAGCTCATTGGATATGAGTTGGGAAAAACACACAGAGATATAGGATTTATAGAGCAATCATTTTGCAGCCTCTTCTTGTTGTTTTATGTGTATAAATGTTAATACAATTGCTAATTATGTTTCATATGATATTTTTGTACTACTTGTATTATTATAGCATATAACTTTTATATTTTGTGCCCTGAATTAGTGAGTTTTAGTTGTAAACTCATGGATAGGGTCAAAATACTTGTGTAAGTAGGTATATGTGTAAATTGATTGATTTAAAATGAAAATGGTTGTTTTGTGTAAAGTTTTTCTCCCCCTTATGTTTTGTGAAAGTTAGGGTTAAGTGATAATTTTGGGTTATATGTGTATTTGATTAAGTGTGGTATGTTGCATAGGTCCTTCAGAGTTCATTAAGTGTGATTGGATGATCGGTGTAGGCTTTTAACACTTGTGGTTGAGTTGGAATACCATTGTTGTGAGACTTTTGTGAAAAAGTGATAAAATAGGTTTTGATGTCCAATTTTTTGTAAAAAATAAATTTGAGTATGAAATTTGTACTGTTAGCTAAAGTTAGGAGAAAGCTTTGTGCAGACACAAAACTATCTCAATTGGACATTGGATAGAGGTTTAGGATGCGTTCAAAGTTCACTCCCTATGCTGTCAAATTGATAGTTGATAACTATCATATTTATGCAATGCGCTGTGGTGTATGGCACAGAGATGAGTGAGTTGGGGCGTTCATGTATTTAGCCGCGGCACATGTCACGTTTTTTGCATAGAAATGCAATTTTGAGTTTTGAAACTCAATGTTTTGGGCCCCAAATGATTTTTAAATTTTTATATTGTTTTAAAACTTTAACCTAAGTATAAATAATGTTTGAGAGATTAAAAATATTGCATTTTGGAACCCTGTTGTAATTGATTTAACAATTATTCTTAGTTTTGTGATTTTTATAACTTGATAATCTTTTGAAGATTTAATCCTTTAATTACCTCAATTTTAAAGTTAATTGTGATTTAGTGAGGAAAACTTTACAGTAAGTACTTTAACTTTTAAAATACCAATTAAATGTATTGGTATCTAGTTATCAAAATATTTATAGCTTACTATACTAACATTTCTTTTTCTTTTTCCTTGATATTATGTACGTACAGTACAGGTCTTTTATTAATTTTTTAAGCTCATTATCCATACTTCAGAGTTATAATTTTAACCTTCTTTCGATATTAAGAGCATATTACGAATGTATTGTTATCCTTTTCTTGGTGTGACTCATGCTGCCTGTTTTCACTTTTCAGAACTATACTGGCCCTGCTTAAAATGGGTCGACTCTTGGTCCCGCGGGGAAAAAAATCACGTTGCTTGAAATTGGAGCGCATGTGTGGAAAAGTTAGAGCGATAATTTGATTATTTTGATAAAATTTGTGACCAGTAAATCAAACTTGAATGAACAAATATTTTATTAATGATATGATATATATCAATAGTTAAATAAAAATTAATTTAATTTTTATCAAAATAGTTTTTTACCCTGCATTTTGTTCTTTATTTTTTAAAAAATATGAGTCTATTTTTTTTTAATTAGTTAAACAATTATGCTCTTTTTTTTTTCCGTTCAGTCATATGACTATTATCAATATTTCGTTATTCATATCAAAATATTTTAATAATGTTATATTTTCTTTTAACAATAAGAATTTATAAAAAATGATGCAAATTTAAAGGATCAAATTGATAAACATTAAATTTAAAGGATTGAATCCATAATTATAAGGTAAATTTAATGGACTATAGATTTTATTATCCCGACATACATAAATATCAGTTATCAATAATTATTGATTTTTCTTGATAAATAACATGCTGATAGAATATTAAATAACTATTTTTCAGTTAAATGAATATAATCATTATAGTTCAATACCAACTCATTCAAATTTAGATATTAATTTTTTGCTCAAAAAAATTCAGATATTAATTTATGAAATATACGAACACACTAATTAATTATTACTGGTCTGGTCATAATTGAAAGCACTGATTTTGACTGTGATATTAATTATCACTTTCTTTATAGCTCTTAATCTCTTAAATTTTTTTTTCTTTCAAAAAAATTTTTAGGTAGCATTTAGATCGTGGATTTGTATTTAAGTTTTAAGATTTAAAATATTACATTCAGAATTTATGTATTTAAAATTTATAGTTTAGGTAATTTAAAAAAATTTAAATCAAAAAAAGAGATGAGTTAAAGTTTAAAATGAAAATAAAAAATCAAAAGCAATAAATTTATTTATATTTTTCAATTAACAAGAAATAAAAAAAGAAACAAGAATCATGAAAACATCAATGTTAAAAACACAGAAAGAAAAAAAATGAGATGTTTGAAGTGATTGAAATTTTAATTTTTTTATATTTTAATAATTTAAAATTATAGAAAAAATGTGATAAGAGATGGATTTGATAAAATTTTATTTATCTAAATGAAGGATTTTTTATCCAAGTCTAAATTTGAATTCCTGTTAATCCAAACATACTGTTACCGCATTTTGAAGATTGCAGATAATGGACATCCATAGCTCCCCTAGAAATATATTTTATCAAAAAAAAAAAAAAGTGTCATGAATATATCATTACAATATTTTTTACCATCAATAAACCCAATTAAACAAGTCAAAATGGTAGTGATGAAAAAGTTACCATAACAGGCTGTAATGGGCGGTTGAGTCAAATGGGCATATCTCATGTGTATCCGATCGATGCCTTGCGCACTCCCCTCCACTGCGCACTGGCACTGCTAATATTTTCTCCAAGATTTTCAAACCCAAAAACTCCAATTGTCCCGCGCATCAATTTGACGATCGGGGTTTATTGTCAGAACAGGGAGCCCTGATTTAATGGAGACTGAAGAAGGCGAGACTAATGGCACAGCAGTTGAGGGGGGCTTGATTCTACGGCCCGTGGCTCCGGCTGAGTCCGGTGAAGGATTGCCGTATGCCCCGGAAAATTGGCCGAATCCCGGCGATATCTGGGGTTGGAAAGCCGGTAAGAGAATTCACCCCGCCGGTTACTTCAGGGACAGGTACCTGTATCTTCCAGCTCATCTAAGGCGCTCCGATATCCCAGGCTCGAGCAGCAAGCGCAGACGTTTTTTTGCCAGCAAGCAGTCCGTTGAACGCTACATCCAAGAATCTTTTCCAGACACTGATCTTAATGCGTTCTTTGCTTCTTTCAGCTGGAAGGTTCCTGCCACTGAGTCTGCCTGTAGAAAGGGTCAGCGACTTGCGATTTGATACCCTAACTTTTGCATTATCTGTTCTCCTCTCCTTTTCCCCTCTTTCTGTCATTTTTGTGGTTACTGTTGATTTTGATGTCTTCATGTGAGACTTGGTTGAAAGGTATGGCAAGTATATATCCTGATATTAATTAGATTTGTTTATCTCGTTGCTCATTTACACGGATGCAAACTATCACATTTTATTTAAACAAAAAGAACTCTCACGTTTTATGCAGCTTAGATGTCGTCTTGACTTAAATGCTACTTACGATAGGAGTGTTAGAGTCGGACTATAATTTACAATTGCGTGTTTGTAATGAAAATAGGAAGCATGGTTGTTTGATAGAGTTTAGGAAGAAACATTTTCTAACATAGGCTGAAAACAAAAATCTCCGAGACATTTTCAGCCTTTGGAGGAAATGATTGGTGACATTTTTGTAATTTTGCAAGAAAATAAGTACTTCTTTCTGGTTTTCTAGCCGTATGATCTTCCGGTCTTTCCATTTATGATAATTTAAGCTAATAATTTGATTTGAAAACGATGATCAATTGTTAGCTCCACAAAACAAAAATTTATGTTTTTTTTTTCTTATTTCACCGACACACCATCTGGATTTCAATCTTTGTTGCGCATCTAGCTTACCTGGTTGGGTTTAGTCAGAGTTGTTGGTTACAGAATAGCTGGCTAAATGTGGATTTAGGTCATGCTGATCATTTTGTTTTTTAAACATGGAAGACTTGTCCGGGAAAGAAATCATATTCATTGATGACTTACGATGGATGTTAGATTGATTAGGATTCCTAAAATCTTTCATCTTATTTCCAAAATTCATCCATCCTAAAATTTTGTCAAGGCCTATCATCTTTATATGCTTTTATTTTGATTTTCCTTTTTTGGGTGATTAGAAATTTAATTTTAAACTAAGAATATTGTTGTGCATGGCATGCAATACAGAGCAACATTCTATAGCTGCAGAAGATATAGAAGTAGCAGAAGATTCATCATCTGATTGCCAGTCTGATATTGCTGTATGTCAAGCTAGAAACAAGAATTGTGACAGCCTGACATCAGAAGTAGAAAAAGCACAATATTCACCCGACTTGCCTTGTGATCTTTTCTGTAATAAACCTGGTTTTTGCCATGATTGTTGCTGCATTCTTTGTTGCAAAACTGTTGATTCAACATATGGAGGCTACAGTTACATCAAGTGTCAAGCGAAGGTTGGTGACTATGTATGTGGGCATATTGCTCATATATATTGTGCTATTCGATGTTACATGGCTGGAACAGTTGGAGGAAGTATTGGGCTGGATGTTGAGTACCTATGCCGGCACTGTGATGCAAGGACTGATCTAATTTCTCATGCTACTGAGCTTCTACAAAAATGCAAAACTATTGATTCTAGAGATGACATTGAAAAGATCTTAAATCTTGGTGCAAGTATCTTGCGTGGTTCCAAGAGAACGATTGCAAAGGAGCTGCTAAATCGTATAGAATTGGCCATCTCAAAGGTATGGTTAATTGATTTTTAGGTGAAAGTTATCTAGCTTGCTTGCATATGTTTATGCATGCCCTCTCTTAGGCTCGTAAAGGAAGCAATATGACTGATTTAATTGTTTGCAACAGCTTCACTGTGGGACTCTGCTTGAAGATATTTGGAAGGCGGATGATGAGGAATCCTTACAATATGCAGGTGCAATAGTATCTCTGTATTACACAATAGTCAAAGCTTTGATCTGTGATTTGCTAAGCTAAAATAGCTCTAGTTCCTACAAATTAGTGAACACACGAGTTCCTGAAAATAATAGACTCATTGCACGTTATTCTTTTTAGCATCTTTAATTCACTTGATGGAGAGTAAGGCGCAATAAAATTGTTTATTATACGAATAATTCATGTGTTTACAATCTTTTTTGAGCTCAAGTAAATTAGAGCTAGTTATTGAGGACAAAAGCATTAGTTTACTATAGTATTAATAACTTTAGTAATGTTGAAAATGCAGCTGTCATATGACCTTACTCTCTTTCTTGAATAATTTATCTTTATGAACAGGTTTCTCAGATGATGGCAGTGAAATGAAAGTTGCAGTTAATGAAAGCCCTTCGGAAGTCATCGCAGGGACAGAAAATAACGATTATGTACCTGACTTTTCAAAACTTGAGGATGAGATACATCAAGTTCTCCAAGGGCTGCAAAAGTCACAGGCTTTGGAATACAGCATGGCAGAAGAAATACTCCAAGGGAAGAAGGGTTATCTCCGAAACTTGTATCAGCAACTGGACAGGGAGAAGTCTGAATGGGCGTGTCAAGACTTATCTCATTCTAATGTCTTGCTTGATGCTGTCAACAAGAGGATGGAACAGATAAGACAGGAGATTATAAAATTCGAAGACATGAAAAAGGTAGCCAAGGGTTTTGGTAGGACAAGCAAAGATGTTTTGAAGGCACACTTTGGCTTAGAAACTGCAGAATAAAATTGATAAATCTTTTAGTGACCGACTCCATCAAAACCTACCGTTTTTCTTCCAAATTTACCGAGTACACTGTCGAAATAGGTAATGTCTGGCTGCCCTTGTGGCAAAGCACATAGATGAGCAACAAGGATCCCCGTTAAGTATATATTTCATGCCGTTCCTGAAGTATTGTGCTTTACACATTCTGATGATAGTGTTGCTGGACATGAGAGGTTACCCGGTGCAGAAGTCTATTGAAGGGGAGATAGTGGTGATGTGGCAGAAGAAATGGCAAGGGAGAGAGAAAATGTATAAGGTGTGTGAGCCATTGAGATATGAAGAGGGAGAAGGACGAAGCATGTGGCGTGAAAAAATTCTGTGGATTCTTTGAGCTGTTTTTTCCTTGTTATTCTGTTTTTTTTTTTTAAATTACAGCATACTTTTAAAACCAAATAGAAAAGGCAACACAAGCTAGGTCGGAGCATTAGGCTTTTTAGATATATCAGCTTCTAGGTGGTTCCTATATCCAGACAGAGGAGTCCGAAAACCGTGTGTCACTCATCTCTTTTTGCTATTCTCTTCCGAGCTTCTTTGCTGAGTGTTCTGCTCGTTTTTGCTGTGACATTGCGCTGAAGCGCCACACACTTGTAATAATCCGGCGCAAGCTTGGATTGCAAAGTTTATGGCATTTTAGTGGCAATATCACAGCAAAAAGAACAGAAGAGAAGCACCCAAGAGAATAGCTCAGAAAGGAAGATTCCACATAATTCCTTCACGTATCCCTCTTTTTATATCTCAGTGCATTTTTACTTTCTACCTACTATTTATTCTAGCATATTCTGCCACGTGATTGCTCTCTCTTCACAAACCTTGAATTTTCTATCCACTGCATCATGTTTATGTGATCTCTCATATATTTTAGCATCACCGCGCGCGCGCGATGGTTTGTCGCGGTAAAATATAAAAAATAAACAGAAAGAGAGGAAAATGACATTTCATTAAAGACTACATGAACTTCCAAAAGCAAATGCTAAAATGGGTTTGGAGGTTTGAAACATTGCACCTGAGATAATACTCAACACCGACTCAGAAGCAACGGTGCAACAATTTTTGTAACTTGGATGGTTTTGAAGGCTGATAGCTTTTTCTTTCTTTCTTTCTTTCTTTCTTTTGGTAAAATGATAGATTTTTTTTTTTTTACTTTATTCTCATTGTGGGTCGCTTTCCTGGTTAATAGTGCATCGGGGAATAATTGCAATTTCCTATATTCACAAAAATGTGAATGTATATGGAAAAATCCCATGTTCATATTAAATTTATCAGGACACAGAATGTGGGGCTGTATTGAAATTTCGACCTTAATTGATAAGCTCATATTGATTACATCAAAATACTATTATTTTAAGACATATTGGTCCAAAAAAATTAAATATATGTAAAAATAAGAATGTGATGAAAATAAATCTTGCACCCCTACATAAACATGGTATAAAAAACAAGTACTATTAAATAATAATGATGATAATAAATATAATTGATATTAACTTTAAAAAAGGGAGTATTAACTTTAAAAAAGGGAGAATTTCAATCAAAGACCATGGAAGAGATTTAATTTTAAGTAAGTTAAAAAATGTTTTAAAATTTTAGTTAAGTCTTGAGGAGAAAATTCAAAAGAATTTTAACGGTGAAAAGATCAAAATATCTTCTATATATTATGTAGAATTATTAGTTGTTAATTTTCTTACTACACTTGTTAATTTATTAATATTACTTGTAAATCATATCCATTTGTCAGACAATTAATAACATTAATTTTTAATTTGCTAATTTTATTTGTTAATTTATTAATATTAATTGTAAATTACAAGACCTATTAGTAATTTACAATTAATGTTAATAAATTAATAAGTAAAATTTAAAATTTAACAACTGATATTACTGCTTATAATTAAAAAACTGATGTCAAATTTTTTATAATTATTGATATGTCAACTTATGTAATTTGTAATTTATATTTATAAATTAACAAGTAGAATAAAAAAATTAATAACTAGTAATTCAGTATAATAAGTGAAAGGTATTTTGATTTTTTCACCATCAAAATTTTTAACTTTTCTTTCTTAACTAAAATAAAATTTTAAAATATTTTTGAACTCTTTTAAAATTAAATCTCTTCCCTAATCCTTTATGAAAATTCTCCCTTGAAAAAAAAAAAGGAAAAAAACACTGCATTGTCTTCTCCACGCCACCTCTTCATCTACGTTATTCCTCATCTTTATAGTTCTCCCCTATCGTCTCATGTTGGTTGCATTTATAAATTCACAAGGATTAGAGAACAAACACAATGCTTTTAAACATCACCAAGCAGCAATGGCAAGGTTAATCACAACTGAAGCACCCAAAAAAAAAAAAAAAAAGTTCCCAGACTCCGTTCCAGCACAATGCTCTTTAACAGTTATGCCTCAAACGCTATGCAAGGGATATGCTAAATTAACAAAATGAAGCAATACAAACTTTTTATATTCCTTCTTCATTCATCTTGTCTTTAACTCGTGATCCAGTTACGGCAAACATCAAGAGGCCATCAATTATCACGTCGAGATGATGCCTTGAGAAACAGTTTTTTCCCCCTTGGGGATCATACAGTATGCTGAGTTTAATTATAAAGAACCAGATCATGATCATTCTCATAACAACCCCTTCTACCACAATACACCACCCGGATGAATTCTCTCCATAACAAGCCGCTTGGAATTTAGATGTGGATATAATTAGCCAGATTTAGTGATAAAATAAATGAAGAAAGGGGCAGACAAAATGTTCAGGACCTGCATGGATCCCGAACATGATAGATATGATCCCGGAACACAATAAATTTACCTAACAAAGTCAAACACCTATTGAATGTCAACATTCGATAGATCCAGATCGATACTCGTTACCAAGGTATGAGTAATGAACAAGAGGCTGACCAGATTTAACAGTCTGAAGAGCAGCACTCCTCTCTCTGTTTTCACTTTCCTTCTGAAGTTTTGGTCCTTACATCAAGCTCGATTGTACGCAAAACTACTATCCCCTTTCACCAGTATGCTGAATCGTGTGCAACTTAAAACCGTAAGGAAAACAATTCCCAGTCCCAGGTACGAATGCCCCCAAACCTCGGAAACAATTAACAATGACCACGATTGAAAGGGGCATATTTACTTATAATCGAAGGAATCTCTCTCCTCACACTATCCCATCAACGGACAGAAATTTAACAAACGGCCGAAGCAACATAAAAGACAGAGAGATTGACATGGAGATCATTCTTGCCAAGGGAATAAGTACAGACCTTGATTGATTCAAGAGAAACTAGTTCCAACAACAACTTGAAAAATTAAAACTAACTCGCATACTGAAGCCAAGTTGAACGGCAACAAGGTTGAATTAAAAATGAGAGGAGAAAGAAGAGATTTACTGTACAAGCACGAGTCTCCCACCCATTCCATCACCATCACGCCACTTTTCTCCGCCGCCATTTCCATTTCCATCTTCTGAATTCTCCAGTCCCTCCCCTTTCGGCACCGTCACTATGAGCTCCCCATCGACAAGAACTGCGCTTGCGAGCTCCGGCCGCGTCGATTCCGGCAGCCGAAACCTCCACATATCGAGTTCTATATCATCCAACGATAACTCCGCCGACCCACTTTCCCTCACCATAATCTTGGTCACTCCAGGGTGGATTTCCACCGTATGCGCCTGCACATCGCCGATACCGTCGGTTTCCGCCACAAATCGGAAGCAATCGGGTCCCTCCTCGATCGATACATCAGCATCGGACCGAAAGGGAAGCTCCAGGACCCGGCTGAAAACATGGGGAAGCCTCCTTAGCTTCTTGTTGGAGAGGCCAAGAAGCTCTTGAGCTTCTGAGAGAGGGTTCCGCGCATTCATGTCATATTGGACGGTGATGTTGCGTTTCCTGGGCACGGGGTGAACCTTCATAGTTTCAAGATCACCGTGAATAGCGGAAGATTGAAGCAAGATTAATAGCAGAATCAACTGGGTAAGAATCAAAATCTGGGTGAGAATATAAAGGGGAAAAGGAAAAATCATATATGAGCTGGCCTTTGTTGCGTTTTGTTTGGGAAGAAAAGCTGTAGAAGAAGGTGACCCTAACCCTAAAACCCTATGCTTTCGATTGAGCAGAGGATTTAAATTAGCGTTATTTTCTGTTTGTCGACAAAATTTGAGCGACTGGTAGAAATTCTCATAGCAAAGGAAAAAGTTTGTTAACGAAATCTTCCTTTTCGGTTTTCGGTGAGTGCCGCGGGGATGAGAGAGAATCAGCTCACAGATAAAGAAGGCGCGATTATGAGTTTGGGCCCAGAGTTCTTAAAATTTACCAATAGGTCCGCAATCACTACTCCATTACGGAAAGAGTTTCATTTTGATTTTGGACCATGCAAGGAGGTTTGCATATAAGTGCCATTTTTAAAAAAATACAAAGGCACATAAAATTGTGCAAGAAGACAAAATGAAGTCATGTTTAAAATTATACGGTTGATACAATCAAAAGGCGGGTTATCCAAAATTATAATATTGAAGCTATCTTTGGATTTTTAATGAGCTAGCAAGTTGGCATGGTTGAAGTTGATTTCCTAGTCGTTCATATTTAGAGAGAGGATGTATATTAGAGAGGTTATGATTGATAAGGGATAAGGCTTCTATGAAATCAAAGTAGACATTAATTTTAGAGAACTTAGCATTCCAACAAAGCTCAAGACCCTTTAAAATTCCTATAAGTTCAGCAACTATGTTGGGATAATAACTAAGATTTTTAATGAAATGTTTGACCAAATTACCCTTATCATCCCTTATGATGCCCCTGCAAGCAATAGCCCCATTGATGTTGACAGATATATCGATGTTGATCAATCTATGAATGTTGAGCCTGACTCATCCCAGTGCAGGAGGGTTCCACTTAGCTTCGTGTCTAGCACTACTTTTACTCAAATGATTGATTCTGACTTGAAGCCTTAGATCGTTAATGATCTATTGAGTGCAAGAAAAGACAATGTCTTTATCTTAGTTATTATTATTAGAATAGATCTTGTTTCATCTTGTCTTCCATATATTCCAACAGGCAAGTGTAAAGAGTCTCTGCCAATTTGTTCTTATACTCAGTCTACCTGCTTCATTTTTTGCATTTCAAAAAATTTAATCCTGCATACAAAGAGAGAAGAAAGCATTAAGTTTGGTATGATTAACTAATTTTTTCCAAACATTATGAGCTTCCTCATAATCCCCGTAAGATATGGATAGAAGAGTCAAAAGAGTTACAACCAAAAGGGTAAGTACACTGTTAGGGTGTATTTCCATTATGATTCATGTAATCGATTTGGAGATGATCCCAAACAGCTTTTCAAAGAAAGTATCTAATTTTTTTTATAAGTAGGCCATTTCTAGATCTTAAACCATATTTTAAGGTGATTTTGGTCCCTTCAAATCTCTATTGCTCTGTAAGAAGATTTGATAGAAAAGTTACCATTAGAAGAAGGCCTTCAATAAAGAAGATCGTTATCACCTCGAGGGTTTGGGGGCTGAATAAGAGCAAAATGTTTGATCACTTTAGGGTCGAGATACCTTCCTCAAAGATTAAAGTCTCATTCTCCAGCGGACAATTTAAAGTCCAAAACTCTTGCATGAAGAATATAATCAATATTATTGAAAGCATATTTAACAAGAGGATCAGGTAGAGAGGACCATTTATCATACCAAAAAGATATCTGATCTCCTCTATTAACTTTTCAGTCAACATTGAACATGAATTTATCCCAGACTTTACATATGCTATTTTAAGTATCGGAACATGAGTTTAGTTTTTGAATCATGAGTATGATGGACTTATTGCATTTGTATTTGTCATAAAGAATTCACACCTAAAGGCAATTCGGTTTAGTGATGAGGCCTTAACAAAGCTTCATGATGAAAGCAATATTTTGTTCTTTGAGTTTTTTTATTCTAAGCCCCCCGTCCTTTTTATCTAATATAACAAAATTTTGAGAGAAAAGGTGAGGTTTTTTAATCCTATCAGTTGAATCCCAAAGAAATTTTCTAGAGATTTTTTCTAAATCAGCCAACACATTGTCAGGTAAAAGCATCATTTGCATAGTGTAGATAGAAAGTGCCAAAAGAATAGATTTAATGAGCACAAATTTTCCCGCAATATTGAGGTATCAGCTTTTCCATCTTGCTAAGTGAGAATTGGTCTTGTCAAGTAAAGGTGAAAAAGTAATCTTAAAGGCCTTTTCATGAATAAGAGGAATTCCAAGATATTTGCCAATATTTCCAGCTAAAGGAATTCCCAACTTTGCACTAATCTAAGAAGCTGTATTGATGTTGACATTCTTGGAACAATAGAGTTTGGATTTGTCAACATTAATTTTCTGCCATGAAGCTTTACAAAGTCAGAGATGCATTGCTAAATGTTTATTGCTTGAGAAACAGATGGTTATGTAAAAAAGCAACAAATTGTCAGCAAAAAAATAAATAAGATATAGGAGGCCCTTTAGTTGTTAGCATAATAGGATTCCATTCATATTTATCTATGCTACTAAGAATGAAATAGCTTAATCGCTCAATATATAGAACAAAAATATAAGGAGAAAGAGGATTCCCTTGTCTAATGCCACGAGTAGGAGAGAATTCTTGTGCGGGCTCTCTATTCTAAAGGACTCTCATATGCTAGTGGAGATAGCAGCTTGAATTAATTTCTTGAAATGGTTATTTAACCCAATCAAGCTGAGGGTATCATCAATGAAATCCTAAGATAATTTGTCAAAAGCCTTCTTAAGATCTACCTTGAGGGCCCTAAAACCTTTCTTACTAACTTTTTTTTTCATGGAGTGAATAATCTCTTGAGCAATAATGATATTATCTATACTCTGCTGCCCTTGTATAAAGCCATATTAATTATTCTCAATTAAATGATTCATAAGGTTATGGATGCGATTAGAGAGAATTTTAGTAATGATTTTATAGCTCACATTACAAAGAGATATTGGATAAAAATCCTTCATACAATTTGGGTTGTCTTTTTTAGGAATTAGAGTGATGAAGGTGTCATTTATCTCGTTAATGGTGTTGAGATCCCTGAAAACTCTCTTAACAAGCTTGAGAATGCTATGCTTATGATTATCCCAATAATTATGAATAAAATTGACATTAATGCCATCAGGGCTAGGAGTTTTGAAGGCTCCAATGTCAAAAGCAGTATTCTTAATTTCTTCATCTGTTACTTCTCTGTGTAAAGTTTAAAGTTGAATGGATAAGAGAGGAGGGAAACTTCTATCGGTAATGAGTTTTAGTCTAACATTGGAGTCTTCTTTGAAAAGTTCTTTAAAATAAGAGATAGCCATATTTGTTAATAAGTTTTGGTTTTGAATCTAAGTATCATTGTCTACTTTGAGAGATAGAATCTAATTTTTTTCCTTCTAATAACCACAGTGACAAAGAACAATTTAGTATTGTGATCTTCCTAATTCAACCATTTGCATCTAGATTTTTAGAATCAAATTAATTCTTCTTGTAAAAGGACTTTCTTGTAGTCTTCCTAAAGAGATTTTTCTAATTTTATTAGAAAGTAGTTATCTCTAGAATTTTTACTTTTATCAATCCCTTCCAAATCTCAAAATCTTTTTCTTTTTGGAGGATATATTGCCAAGGTTTTCCTTATTCCAAGTAGAAGCAGCATTGGCAAAATTAATAACCCCATCTTTCCAATCAAAAGTAGCCCACGAATTTTTAACTAAAGGTTGAAAAGAATCTTCAAGCATCTAAGCAGCTTGGCAATAAAAGGGTTTGGGATGGTGCATATGTTGAGCCATATTCTCAAGTTGAATTCTAATTAGACAATGATTAGAACTATATTTAAAAAGGTGGTAAGTGTTTGCTTGATGAAATTTGAGCCTCCGTTCTGGCTTGCAAAAAGCTTAATCTAATCATTCTTTAATGTTTCCTTTTTCCTAGGTAAATCTATCACCATAGAAGTTTAATTCAAGAAGATTGAAAGAGTTGATGTACTATCTAAATTGTTTCATAGATGTCCAATTAAATCCATTGCCACTAAATTTATCTTTGTAAGAGAGATAAGAGTTAAAATTGCTAACAATGAGCCACAGTTCAGAAATATTTTAGGCAAGTAAGAAATTGAGTCCCATAAAAGATCTCGACAATAAGGGTTTGGATTGCCATAAACATAAGAGAGTAAAATAACTACAATTTTTAGAAAGATTATTAATCTTGCAGTGTAATAATTGGACATTGGAATAGATATAATCAATATTAAAACTATCATTATTTCATAATAACTAAATACCACCAGTATAACCCGTAGCTTTGACACCAATCCAATTAAAAAAATCTAGTTTTTTAATAATTTTATCAGCTCTAGAACCACGAGCTCTAGTTTTTATTAAAATTAGAATTTGGGTATTATAATCTTTAGTGATATCTTTGACACGTTTAGGGAAGCTTTTAGCACAAGCACCTCTACAATTCCAGCAAATTATATCTATAATAAAAATAAATGGAATAGATAAACCTGGACGAAGATTAATTTTTATACTGAGGCATTGATTCCTCAATATCTTCAACACTAAAATCATCATTAGTTGCAATACTGTATTCTTCATCAAGAAGATCATCCTTCGGGTCATCATCTTCTTGAATATCATGCTTTAATTTATCTGGATTATGATCATCTCCCAAAAAATTGCTTTATACAGTTGTTTGAGAATTGAGTTTCATAGACAAAATTAGAAATATTGCCTGGGTCAAGTGGTTCATTCTGATTAAGATGAGAATTAAAGTTGCTATGAGTAACTTTTTGAGGAGGATTCTTAGTGCTTCATCGATGTTTGTCTAGACTTTTAGATTAAGGAAAAAGATAATTTCATTGCCTTTGATTTTTTTGGTGGTTTTATCATTATTTTTATTGATGGGCTTGGCTGAAGAGCCCATAAGTCTGTTGTTTCCTTTAACCATATTATGGACATGTTTATTAGGCCTGTGAGTGTTATTCTTGGGTTGTTACTCCACAGAACTGATATTATTCAATTTATCCCAAATAAAATTTGGCCCTTCCTAAATAAAATTTGGCTTAAACTTAGTAGCTTTGTTACCTAGATCATCTACATTACTCTTCTTTTCTTTCCTTTTCCCTCTTGAATCTTTGGCTGCCACCTCATTTTTACTTTGGTGTGATCTCTTCATGCCTACAACTTCTTCTTTCTCCATTCATTTCTGACAGTCTTCGTAAGGGGCTTTGTAGGTCTAACTTTGCTTGTTTTAGGATTTC